AAGATGATGAAGCTGTGTAGCGATTAAATCAGGAAACTATTATACGTATAAACGTAATATAAGATATTTCTCCCGCCTTCTCAGCGAGCCTTCGTGGTGTAAAGATCTGCACGATCAGCGCGTAATTGAGAGGTCCACGGTTCGATTCCCGGCGAAGGCATCGCTAATTTTTCATCTCTCTGGCCTCCCAAAAAATTTTTAATGTCTCTACAGTGGCGCTCGAACTAAAAAGATTGTTGAATGATGATTCTCCTCACCCATGATTTGGCGATTAGATCCCCTAAAAAAAAAAAAAAAAAAAAAAAAAAAAAAAAAAAAAAGTCGTCCTATAAAGGGGGGTATATAAGGTATTTCTTCCGCCTTCTTAGCGAGCCTGTGTGGTCTGCACGCTCAGTGCGTAACTGAGAGGTACGCGATTCGATTTCCAGCAAAGGCGTTGCATATTTTCCATCTTACCTGCTTCCAAAAATACCTAATGTCTCTACACGTTACAAATAAGTAGCTTATTATAAATAACTAACATTTATTACTTCCTGCACGTGTACTTAACAAAGAAATTTATACAATGTCCTTTGCTTCTTGGAGAAATTTATCTGTAGTATATTAGAAATTTCACAAATGTAAAAACAAAATCAACTCATGAATTTAGATGAAATATTTCTCCTTCAAGCTGTCGGTTATCATTCCGCACAGGATCTTCTGCATCACAGCTGATGTGAAGTCTGGGAATCTTCAGTTTGAATGCAGTTTAATAACACATGCAAGATTTAATTCTATGACACAAGATATGCAAAGATGTTTCGAAACTAGATGTATTTAAGATTTAAAAAAAAATATGAAAGCAAACTTCTAGATTTAATTGGCTATAACCTCTTTTATTTTTTATTTAATGTCTTAAAAATAGCGCTGTAAGTCTAATCTGCGTCATTCAAATTAATCGTGCGATCTTACGTAACGCTTAATGCAGATACCTCTTGCCCAATCAAATAACTGTAAACCATAACTTTTTAAGGCAAAACTGAAACTTCTTGACTCACTCCATTCTTCCTCTGAATCGCTACATTATTTTTCGCTTACGCTTTCCTCCTGGCAAGACGCTACCAATCCACGCTGCTGCTTACTTGCTTAAGATGACGTAGTACTTTAAAACCCGTGTACATGGAAATTATTGCATTCAACTATGACTGAAATAGCTCTTATCTACAGAAAGATGATCTGCCGTGAATTATCCTACAAAAAATTTATGTTTCGAAACAGCCATATCTGGAAGATTTTGGTTTATGCATTCATCCTTCCAACTAAGCAATAAAAGTATTTTCTGAAGCCAGAAATTAAAGTACCAGATTCCTTAATTTACAAGTAAAATATGAACACGCACACATATATATAATGTAAGAAAAAAATATACAGATCACGCTTAAAATGAAAGGAAATAAGGCGTGCCATTTCAAAAGAACACCACATACCTGAGCGACATTGCCTGATGCATTCTGTTCGTTACAAGAATTCCATGTATGAAAACTATTTCAAACGTATAGTTAGTGGATTTAAATAACTAAAAACTATGCAACATTGCTGTCGGTGCGCAATCAAAGAAAGCCTAAAATAAGCACGGAAGCTTCTTTCTGGGCTTTTGAGCAAGGATTACGAAGACTCTTCTATGATTACCATTATCGTAAGTATGACTGACAAAAAAAAAAAAAAAAAAAAAAGAAATATATTGATCTACATCTCTTTTCCATTATTAAATAATGAAGAATATATAGATATAGTTGTTTGTATGTTTCTCGCATTGTGAGAAAAAGACCGCACTTAGTGCTATTAAAATTTGAACATTTGCACTTCGAACCCTAAATTTTGATTTTCGAATTTGTTTTCTTTATTTTATATTTTGAGGGTATTTTACAATTTTAATAAAAAAAACTCGGCTATTTTAAAGCAATATGTTACCACTGCTTTAATTACTTTTATCTTCCCTGCGCCAGCGTATTACCGTTCATTAGAGCGTAAGATACGGAACTTTCAAATTGAATTTATCTGTTATTGATTAATAAACCATGCTATTTAAAAGCGATAAATGCTGTTCTTATCTGGTTGATTGAAGTAAAAATATAATTATTTAAATCATAAGATGTCTAGATAGAAATATAAAATATTTTCCTTTTTTTAAAATATGATTAGTTTAAATGAAAATGCTTTTGAATCACGAGATGTCTAATTAGAAATATTAAATACTTCTATGAACTTACACTAGCTGGACCCATAGGTACCTATAGGCACGTATTTGTCCAGCCAGAGTATTTTCATAAAGTTTTTATAGTGAAAGTTATTACAGTTAGTGTAATTTCATAAGGTTTTATATTTAAAAGTGCTAGCCGCTGAAGTGGCTAGCACTTTTAAATATCAAAACTGAATAGAAATGATAATTCAGTGAGGAATGTCGGATATAAAATAGGTCAATATTTAAAACAGTTTTACGATGGACATACGCTTTACAAATAAAAAACGGTCAAAATAATCTTAGTGTTTTTTTGGGGGGTGAGGGGTATGGAGATAATGCTAAAACTCAAATTCACTTTATTGCAGCAAAATATGCAATCGACATTAGTTACCAGCACATAATCAAAAAAATAAATTTTGATAATGATAATAAATAAGAGGATTAATGCACATCTGTTAAAGTAGAACTCCAATTATCCGAATCAGTTGGGACCGGACCTCATTCGGATAATTGGATTTTTTCCCGAAGAAAAGGTCTGCGTACACTTTAATTAATTATTGTATATTTAATTAATAATTAATTACTGTTGAAAATGGGAGAAAAACTATTTTTAAAGAAAAAGAGATTTTAATTAAGATAAAAAGGCAAGACTTTTACGTACATGTTATATAATGTAGTGTACAATACTTACAAGTGCTGAAAGTCATTGCTTGCTGAACATCTCAGTCAAAGTAAGCTGTTTGACTGTCTTCATCCGTTTTCGGGCGGCCAAGTCGCGCATCCGCTTGACAATGAGAAGTTGCATGTGGTTACACTCGGGCTGAGTTCCATCCACTTCTAAACAGTTTCAAAGCCGGCAAATACTTCGCCAGCTGATGGTCCCGTATCTGCTTCATCTTCGACGTTAAGGCCATATTCTTCCTCGTCGCTTTCAATAAATTCATCATAATTTAGAATTTGAAACCCAGGGTCTGATGAATCACACACCATCAATTCTGTTGTTTCCTCAGCACTACCTTGTCAACATCCAGGAATTTCAAAAGAATGTTTCTTAATTCTTCAAATAACACGTCATCCTCATCTTCTCCTGTCTCTTCCCTTTCCTTTCCTTGAGCTTCCTTTTTCCTTTTTCTCCTTTTCCTTCTCTGCCCACCAGCGGCCGAGCGGTAAAGGCGCTGAACACTGGTAGTTCGGTCTGGGGTTCGAATCCCGCGAACGGGCTGGCTGCATGGGCGTTTTCGTGGTTTTCCCCATGTGTAACGTGTATACGAGCCAGTTTCCCTTAGAAAGTCCTCCACGAAAGGCATCCCTCCCTTTAGGCAGATAGCCCTCGTGTGCTTTGCCATAATTAAATACACCACACCACCTTTTCCTTCTCTTTTTCACTTCATTCTGAGGAATTCTGAAAGCAATTCGGATAATCAGCGATTCGGATAGTCAGAGCTCGGACAATTGGAGTTGTACTGTACTTGCATACAGTCGTCACTTGCTTACGATCGACACAGCACATAATCCAACGATGCGATATAGGATCAACATCGATTACAATCGACATTTCTAATAGCGTAGACAAGGCTTATAATTAGTAGTACAGCATAACATAGAAGGTGAGAATATAATTAAATTAGCACCTTTTAAAGTATCCGTATGAAATCAACACATGCGTAAAAGCGATACCGGCAGATAATCAAAACCAGTTGTCGATCCCGTGATTGTGGAATTGCGGTGTCGCATTCCCATAGAAAAGACGCGACAACGAAATCATGCAGCAGCTTCCAAAGCACAGCTTCTCCCCCCTCACACACACACACCTTTTTTAAGGATAAAATGGTGTAAAAAAAAAAGAGACATTAAAACATAGCTACAATTTTTAAAACACCGTTGTATGTAACAGCTTTATGAAACATCGTATGAAAAAAGTAAAAGAAACATGTATTTTATATGCATCTAAAAAATGTTCAAAAACTTGTGTAGAGATATTTTTTCGATAGCAGTGTTATCATAATGGTTCCATTAACGGAAGAAAAGTAACAAATTTTGTTCTGTATTTTAGGTGCCTTTTAATTTACAGTTGTAAATAATTTATTAATTTCTATCGACTCGTATGTTAATTTGTTTTAAATGATGGAAACTTTCATTTAAATTTCAAAATCTCGAATCTTCTGCGGAAAAAAAAAATTGTTGTTGTGGCTGTTCTTTTAAAAACGCACGTTTTTATTTTTCGTACTCAATTATTTTTGAAATTTTATCCTAAATTATAGGCATATTTTGAAATTTTTTACAATAATCAAGTATCGTAATTAATTTAAAATATTTTCAAATTATTTATCCTCTCGAGTGTTTTTTCCTTATTTTAGCAAAGTGTGAACTCAAACACAGTTTCGAATGTTATGAGTGATAATTTGGGAATTCCTTATAACATATATGTTTTCTCATATATATATTTTCTTACATGTATATATGTACTGAAAATATGAAACAAATCAAATTGTTGTATAGTAACTGTTTTATGTAAAACACACTTATGCAGTATACAGGTATAATTAGCTTAAAACATTTCTCACAGTCATTTAAATGTAGTTTCTTAGGCGAGAAGAAAGTGTGCTTATGAGACTGTATGGACCAGACAGATAAAATGCGTCTTAATGAAATGTCTATCATTTTTATACATATTTTTGTATAGTATATTTACTTTATGAATATTTTTAAGAAAGTGCGATATTAATAATTTGAGAAGTCTTGATAATAAATAAGCAAAAGTATGCGAGAAATTACTCACTTATACTAGAGATGAATGAGCTTAGAAATACAACAGTTATTATGCACGCAGAAACACCCAAAATGGGTACTGGGATATATTCCAAGATCTATCGTATGAGCCTAGATTTACGCCTATTCCAGCTGAAAATTTAGGGAAAAAAAACAGGAATACAATCGCAGCAATTGTGAAAGCACTCTCTTAACATTAAAGTAATGTGAAATAATATCATAGTCCAATAAGCCTAATGTTTGTTGAGGAGAAAGCTTTAAGCCTTTAGAAGGTCATTAAAAATAAACAGAATAAATAAACGATTAGTGAAAAGGCACCTACCTATCTGTACCGTTACCGCAATCCATGGTTGGTTGAATCTATTCAGCACTCGCGCGAATCTACATAACATCAAGGTAACCTGTGAAATGATAGCTTTGTTGCTGAACAATTTTTGGAAATGATGATTTCATCATAGATGAGTATTACCAAACATAACGACTTAGTGAAACGATGAAAGTTAGGAAGGTGAGTAAAGATTAAGTGAAAATGGTTACTTGGGAGCCACAACAACTGAAAATAATAATAATAAAAAAATATGTGTAAAAGTATAAAGCATGAAATTCTTTATGTTTCAAATTGTGGCGTCACCCGTTAGCTTCATGATTTTAGAAAATCTTTCCATAATTACATACCTAAAAGTTTCATTAACTGTCAGTCGCGCTGAGAAACCAATTAAAGTATGTCCATGTTCCAGCGAAGTGGCTAACTGAATAAGCGTTTTCGTGGTTGTCATCATGTATAATACGAATACCAGGCAGTTTCTCTTAAAACTTCTCCCTGGAGGCATTTCTTTCCTTAGGCAGACAGTTCTTGTAAGCTTTGCAATAATGAAATCAAACAGAATTCTCCTGCCCATTCTTTGGAGCAGCCTTTTTAGTGCAAAAATTCGTTTTATGTTATAGTAATTCTTTACAAAAATGTGCAATATTCTATCCATACTTTGCCTGATTTTGAATACGTTTATACAACCTAACACTACAACAAAACATAAAATTAAATACCTTTATTCACAAGCGGTACTAAAAAAAACAATATCATCCACATAGAATAATCGAAAAAGATGGCCTTATATGCTTTATTTCCTTAAATATTGATCCTAGATGTGCATTTTGAATTAAAAAGTAAAGAAAATGTTTATGTATTTGGGGAAAAGTAGGTTATTTAAATACAAAATATACATTTTTAGTTGAGCTATCAATCAGATTAATAAAATATTCTTTGGGTTTAATAAGCTACCGTAACGGCTTTGTTCATTACGTGCAAAATTCTCACAGACAACAGTAATTAATAATTTTATGAGATAAGATTAAAATGATAAGGAAGTGTTAATTGCCCAATATGATAAGGAAGTGTTAATCGCCAAAATAAGCAAAATACTTTCTTGCATTTTTCTAGTTTCATCCTAACTTCTGATCGAAACTGCTTGGCTAGAGACATTGAAAAGTTACGACTAAGTCAGCGGATTTCGTATCGAATATCTCCGGGAATTTTGAACGTAAAAAGACTTCTAGTATTTAATTTGTTAAAGCATAATGAACAGTTTACGAATTGGATTTTTTGTCTTTGGGAACCAAACATAAAGCAAAATTTTATATCTACAGAGCTGCTTCCACTTCTAGTGGTAAGAATGCTTTTATAAAATTATCTGCTTTATTTTGACAAAACCCACATCTGGTAATGCATGACTGAAGATCAACATTTAAGTAAACAAAGCCACTTTTTCGGAACTTTATGTCCAGTTGTTGATGAATTCAAAGCATCAGACGTCATAATGATGAAGCAGCATTAGTAGATCAAAGGGGAAACTCATGGTAACCAACGTAATCAAAATAGCGCTAGTTTGAAACTTACTTGCCTGCCTTTTATCCAGGTGGTCTCCCCCCCCCCCCCAATCATGCCTTGTTTTCCAACATTATCAAGAAATAAATTCGAAGTTAAAGGAACACGCTTTTTTCCCCTTTTCAGTTAATGACTTATAACTAATATACGTAAAATTTAAACATTATCTAATTTACATTTAAACATGCAGACAAGAATCTTAATTTATTTCGCAAGCACCAAAATAATATATTGAAATTACCGAATAAATAACATTTATGAGTTTTAATTTACCCGAACATATGTGACAAGGAAAGAAAATATGACGCCTTTAAAATACTACTAAAAGGAAATTTAAAACCAATTTATAAAATAGCACACTTTTTTTTCTTTCTGACTTTGATAGCAACGCATGAAGCAGGCTGACAATAAATTTTGGAATTAAAAGTTAAGGCAATCGTAGCGAACGCCCACAAAAATAAAAATAAACATGAAATGACCGTGAAATGTTGAGAAGTTTCCTGAAGTACTTTTAACAACAGAAGGAATCTGAAGGGAAATATTTCCGCTGTTGGAAACTCCTTATTCCAAGCACGCTCTGTCGAACACGTTTGACCGGTGATTCTTTAATCTCTTCTTACGTATAATTTCCTTGCAATGTGCAGCCGGCGGCAGGAAAAAAAAAAAAAAATAAATAAATAAACGAAGGAAACAGTAATAAGTGCATGTTCCGTTATTAAATATAGCGGTGTTTAGCCATAATATAATTGCGAATCACTTGACCACAGACGTTTTGAGATGTTATGTTTACGGTTTATGTAAGGAATTTCAGTATACAATTTTTTTAACAATAGGAAGGTGCTGTAGTTTATATGTCAAAAGTACTTTTGCATGAGACCAAATTTTAAACAAAGCTTTCAATTTTATAATAAAAAAACTAAGCTAAAAGCTAGCAAAAATTCTCTTGTTACAAGAAAGTAAGTTTTATTCGGCAAAATTTGAGCCCCTCCCGCCCGAAAAAATGTAAGAAAAAAAAAAAAAAATTCGAAAGGTTTCAGGTTTTAAATTACGTTTAAAGGGGCAGTTTTTTTAACATTTTGTGTGCTATATTTATTTATTAAATATGAAGTTCTTCGCACTTAAACTATGAAATTCAGTTCAACAACAATATCGCAAAATAATTTTAAACTCAGCATATCTTCAGAATTTCCGATACGCACTCTCACGCACTGGTGATTTTTTTTTTTTTTTTTTCCCTATACAACGTTGCCATCGCTCGTTTTGAAATCCTCGAGTTTGCTAATCAAAAATTCATTGAAGTTTTACAAAATATGAAATCGATAATAAAACAAATTCCAAATTTAAAATCTGTCTTTCAGATGCCCATATTCGCAGTAGGATTACGTCTTTCAAAATTGGATGGCTCTAGGTACCGTTGTTTTATCACAATACGAGAAACATACATACATTTATGCAGATTCGTCATTATTTAATTCCTTCAAATATAATACAGGCCGATAGTATTTGGTGGCAACGATTTTAAAAGTGATACAGCGTTTTGAAGTTTACAACGCAAAATCGCAAAACGAAAAAATAGTCCTTCGGGAACAAAGCCCCTTTGGATTAATAAATTAAACTTGCGGCTCAAATATTTGTTAAATAATTAATCTGCATAAAATAAAAAATTATGCTTGAAAATTATAATGCGCTCAAAACTACTCCAGAAAATATTCTTATTATTTTTTTGCTGCTTGGAAATATGAATTTTATTGTATTTATATGGCTCGTTTTGTCACAGTTAACAAGCATTTAGTGCTATATTTTGGAAGATAAAAAATATCTTAAACAGCATATGTTAAAAGCAGCTTGTATATTCTTATTTATTCTGGAAACATCAGCAACGTTTTAGATATTCAAATATGTATTTCCTGTTTGGAGAATGATTCAAGTGTTTCCATTTTTTTCCTGAAATTTAGTATCGAATGAAATTCTCTATAGTGATGAACTGAAGATAAATAAAGTATCGAGAATTAAAAATTTACGGCAGTGTAAAACTCACATAATGAATAGTTCAATTAATGTTTTTAAGTGTCTCTAAAAATGAAGACTATTTTATTACAATTAACAATTTACGTTGGATAAATGAAAAGGAATTCGCAAATTGGTTCATTGTATATTTTCATATTTACCTCTGTAGAGACATTAGGATTTGTTGGGAAGCATAAAAGATGAAAAAAGTTCAGGAATCGAACCACGGAACTCTGGAATATGCACCCAGCGTGCAGACCACCACACCACGAAGGCATGCCAAGAAGGCGGGAGAAATACCTTATATACCCCCTTTTTAAAGGGTGACTGGGATTTCTAGAGGACCCAATCGCCAAGTCCTGAGTGTGGAGAGTCATCAGCTACCACCCTTTTAGTTTGGGCGCAACTGTAGAGTCATTAGGTTAATTGAAAAGCCGGAGAGATGAAAAATTAGCAAAGGCTTCGCCGGGAATCGAACCGCGGACCTCTGGAATACGTACCCAGCATGTCAAGAAGGTGGGAGAAATACCTTATACCTCTTCAGAAGTTAAATTTAGGTTGAAATATAACGTGCTCAGTTATATTAGGTAAAACACTTATTTCACTGTATGAATTAAAAAAAGTTATAAAATACTAAATAATTTTTTTATTATTTAGAGAAAATTATTTTAGCCGACTTGTAAATGATGGTATGAATTCAGATTCAGCTTGCGAAAAACTTGGCTGAATGCGTCAAAATGGTTGTTTGACTTGCTTAGAATTTGATTCCTCTAGCTGCATTTCCTTATTATGCATATACGATAAAAAGGGTTTGACATTAACATTTATATCCACATATGAAATCATATGAAAATACTTGTTTCGTGTATCGTTGATAGAAAGGTGAAGAAATAAATATTTAATTGAGAGATATAACATACGATTGGTCCTTCTTAACACATTGAGGTCAAGATTAACGCTGAAACAATGGATCATTTCGATGGAATGATTCACATACGAAATATTCAAATTTATTTTGTGTCACAGAGAAAGCGTTTCGCAGCTCACAAAGGTATTCTATTAACCAAATGCCTAATTCAGACTATAGATTGTTGAAACTTCCTCTGAAGCGTGGATGTGGAAGAAATAAATCTACAGATTTCCATAACTTTTTCATTCACTTTAAGCTCTGTGAATCAAATATGTTGAAAATATCCTCAGGAGAAATGTTTCGTTTG